TCAGCAGCAACCTGCATGGCTTCTATCTGCCTGAGAAGAGGTCTGGTAGATTCAGGAACTTGTATTATCAACTCCTCACATCTACGCTCGCTGGCCTAAAACATAGAAGACCAACTATATGTAAAGCAAACATAATTAAGCAGTAAAGCAGAAAAAATTGCAAAACAAAAAAGTAGAATGCAGTTATACTTGGTATCTTTTCTGGAGATCCTCAATGTCTCTGCGCAACATATCTTCCCTAAAAACTGCCTGCAGGTGAAGAAATTATTAGGCACTGGGAATTAGATTGAGAAACCCCGATAGGACACTATTCAAGAATATAAACCTGCTGCTCCGTTCTGCTTAGTGTTTGCCTTAATTCTTCAAGTGCCTGAACAAACATGGCTTCACGGTCTTCAGCCTCTCTTAGGCGACCCTCTAGTTGAGTTCTGGCTTCATTGTTAGCCCGTGCCTCAGCTAAAGCTTCAGCTTCTCTTGCGGCATTTAACGCATTAGTATAGTAATCTTTTTGCATTGCAAGTTCTGCTTGATGTTTTTCTACTGTTCCATGAAGCAGTTTTTCCGTTGCAGCCTTATCTCTCTTTATACTCTCTACTTTATTCTCTTCAACCTAGGAAAGGCATAAGCATGTAACTTGAAATAACAACTTCTACCATAATCCCACGTAAAGTAAAATAACAAACGTAAAGCAATCAACCCACAACTAACACTTGTTGGGTGACGATTTTAAAAACTAACTCGGAACAGCTCTAAAGTTCAGTTAACAACTCAAGAACCCAATGAGGGAACATTGAAGTAAATGTACAAAAAAAAATCAAATTTCACTAGGGGTGTTCCATTCTTCAGGGTGGTTGTTGTTGTTGTTGTTGTTGTTGTTGTTGTTGTGTTTCATTCTTCAGCCGTGGAGAGACTTTTGAATTGCGAGGTACCAAGAAAAGTCCTGAAATACTCTTTAAAATGCTCAATGCACACTTGCAAGATTCTACTCAAGAGGTTAGCAAAAGGCAACTTCTAACTTCTAAGTCATGTGTTCCGGAAACTAAGTCATTTTCTGAAAAATATCTTCCGGAAAAATGTTTCCGGGTGTTTGGTTGGTGAGTAGAAAACGTTTTCCAATTTTTTTATCAAATAGTTAATAATAATGTTAGCAAATTGGATAGCGTGTTGATGAAACTTTTAAGTATAAAGATTTATAATAATGTCCAACATGTTAGTCGAGCAGTGATATGAAGTAATAAATTGGGATAATTGTGAAGGAAAACGACTTCCACCCATATGTAAGGTAAGACATTTTCTCTTCCACCTTCTAGTGGAAAATATTTTATCCAAAAGGTGACCTATTTTGCGGAAAACATTCTCCAAAAAATATTTTCCTTCATACCAAACATATCTTGAACACTTCCCACTTTTTAAGATGAAGTTCTGCTGCAGCTAGTGTTAGTTTTAGAAAATTTTCTACCCTCCAATAATGATAATAGGCATGTTAAAACAAAAAACTCTATTTAGCTGAAAACTCAGAAAAAACATTTCGTGAAAATGAAAACAAGGAATTCAACATTTGAACATAAAAAGAACACATAACCACAATAGGAGAGAGCTGAAAGTAATCCAGACACCTTTTGTTATAGAACAATGAAAAATTCAGGCACTCCTCACAATATCTATAATGAGGTCACTACATAAAATAAAAATGACTGACCTCAAGCTTGGTAAGTAATCCTTTCTTCTCTTCTTCAAGCTCTCTGATCTAACTTTCAAAACAAATGGAAGATTTGTTAAAACTTACAAATAAGCTTTCTGAGATGGAATAATGAGTATGCCTGATTCCACACCTGTGCCCTTAATTTTCTCATCTGAGCTTCTTGGGCAGCTTGCTTTTTAGAAAGCTGCTCACCTGGAAGAAACAATAAGTTTTAGACATTTGAAAATTTGAAATGGCATAAGAAGAGTCCAAAATATTATAGGGCTTATACAAACTTTAAAGGAATGAAGATATTTCTCCACATAATATTATATACATGTCAACCAGGTAAAAGATTAAACTGTGTCAGCAGGAGACTCTAGACAAATATACCAATCAAAAAAAAAAAAAAAAAAGGGAGGAGACTCTAGCCAAAGGTTCAGCAACAGATAAAGTTCCTCACAAAAGGCTGGATATGATGTAACTTACAGCATGCACAAACTTCAGACTTCTTCCAAGGAACCCATGTTTTAAGACATGAGTACCTATCAGATTGTCCAATTACACCCAAACAGCCTATTCGACCAATCTTGAATTTCAATTTTCTCTAATGAAATCAAAATTAGAGAAGAGATAGAATCCTAGTGAGCCTAAACACACCCTGTAATTTGAAAAGCTTTATAATGCTTGGTGCAGTTGTAGGTGTAAATTTTTAGACCCATTTATGGTCTGTGCAGGGAGGTCCTAGAATGATCACTGCCCATTGCTGATCATATTCTGGACTCATAATGTATGTCTAAACCCAATTTGCTATGTAGCACAGTTGACTACTTACTCTATCAGTCATTTCCAACCCCCACAAACATCTAGCTATCAAGTTACTTCCAGACATCTAATCAATGTACCATAGTTACCATCTAAGTAGCATTGATACAGATACCAGTATCATGTAAGATACAAGTATGATATGAAGACATGGAATTTATCTTTATAATACATATATTTGTATCTTTCATACAACCTGTAAGTAAAACAATAATTACGCTATTATAACTACTCCTCAATCCCAAGCTAGATGTAGTTGGCTATATGAATCCTCGCTATCCATTTGAGCCTGTTTCTTTCAAATATTCAATAATTTAGGTCCTCGAGCACTAAAACCTCTACCTAAAACATACAAACTTCTAAAAAGATTATTGAACACAGAACCTAACATAATATTACCAACATGACTAACCCTTAACCCCAGCTAGTTGGTATCACCTGTATCTTTTTCTTTCTATTGGGTTTTATTTTTCTATAAGTCTGCATAAGTTCCAAGATATTGTACGTCTTTTGAAATAATTTATTTCCATGTAATTTAGGTCTAACACGTCTCTTTTTTAACACCTTCAATTGTCATGATTACACAACTTCGACCGGTGTATCTGAAGGTCTAATCTTGACCTAGTGTCCTATCCTCTCCAAATAACCTTAATTTAGTTCACTAGAGTGCCGAAGGTGGCTCGTTGTCCTCTGTTCTTTTAAGATGCCACCAACATACAAGCCTAAATAAACAAAACAGAAAAGCAACAAGCATCTATAGATCATAACTTTCAGAAAGAAACGTAAAAACACATAATGAACTGTCATAGATTCAACTCGGGAACTGTTAAACTTCATCATCAGACATCATAATATAATTCAAACCATTCAAATACCAACAAAACTATCAAGCCAATTACAAAATGTAAATGTGCAAATTGAGCTCAAGATTATGTGAAATGAAAATTTCTCAATCCTAATTCCTAACACACTGCATCAACTTCTTACAGCATCACCATCGAGCCTTCTTTCTGTTTCAAATTTTTGTTTTGACACTACCTACATATTAGCAACAAGCATGATCCACACATATGTTTTTTGATAAGGTAAATGATTATATAAATGATGGGAAAATCCTGTATACAAGCCGTATACCAAAAAAGTAGAGATCCTACACCAAAATATGGTTCTCCACAAAAGATTTACAGTATATATGACACACACTCTAGCATAAGTATGGTATCTAAGATTCATAGTCTATATAAAATCTAAGACACCACCTAACATTAATGTAAGTTTACCTTGTTCTTAACTTACAATTGTCCTATATGCCACATATAGTAGGAAAGCTTCATGCGAAACAAAGGCCAAATGATGGTATAATGCATTAAAACCACTTCTTAGAGACAGTTTGAGTTTATCATACCTTCAGCCATTACTTGAGTAATTATCTCATCCTTCTCTTTGAGAAGAGCTGCAGCATCACTTTTCTTATTATGTTCCCTGCGTAGTGTATCCCTCTCCCGGGTTAGAGCATAAACCTGAAATAAATGAATGTCAAAATTTTCATTAGTAACTTTTTTTTTAAATGGAAAGTAGTAGCACATTTAACAACAACATAACGACACATTGCACATTCGCCTTTTAATCGCAAACAGTAATGCTAAGACACATTCCACAGGAAATATGATCTTAAGTAAAGGAGAAGTAGATGGTTGCATCCTTGCAAACTCGACAGCTCAAATATTTTCTTCTTTTCCTTCATTTAGAAGTTCCCACCAGCGCCTCTCATGTCTCGGATTATTTGATCACCTGGCTATAATATGAATGTATTGCCACATGTGAAGCATTAATAACATTTCCTTCTAAAATATACGGAGTTTTGTAAGCTTTATACAGTAAAATTATAAAAGATTTCTCTGACCAAAGAAGGAAAAGGCCGAGAAATATTTCAGGCCATGGATTTTAAAAAAACATAAAAGAAAATATCTTCTAAATGAAGGAAAAGAGGAAAAATCTACAAAGAAGCAAATTTGTCCTCGAGTTACATTATATCCTACATCGAGCAGTGTTATCAAAGGCGCGCTTAAGCCGTGAAGCGAGGCTCAAAACATGTTCTCGCTTAGCGGGCGCTTCAACGTTGTCATCAAGGCTCTAAGGCATACTTTTCCTTGCCAATAAGCTTAATCATGAAGAGGCGATGCTAAACAATTGATATTTCACTTTATAATAAAGTTTCTTAAATTCCTTTGTCTATATATTTTGTATTCATGCTTATAGATATTAGTCTTGGACTATACATACATATTTGTAGTTTTTTTCCATTTGCGTCTTTCTTCGTTAAAGTCCATGCTTTATTTGCCCTTTGCGCTTAAAACCCCAATAGACCTTAGAGCTTTTTGCGCTTTTTGCCTTTGATAACACTGACGTCAAGTTTATACGGACAACCGGAGGAGTTTATTACGATCTTGCACTACTCCACCTATTGTCTTAAGGGTTTGAATTAAATGTTCGGATTCTATCACATGGTATCAAAAATCAAAACCTTAGCATGCATGTGCTCGCACTCGTTAGTCCACATTCAAGTCCATGTGTGAGCCCAAAAATCAGATTATACATGTGGAAGTGTGCGTTGAAGTCTCACATCGGGTAAATAAGGCATCATAAGGGTTTATAAAGGTCGCGCCCTACTCCACCCATAAATTATCTTATTTTCTTCATTTTCTCAGTTTCTTTGACTTCCCATTATTTCAAAACTTTCTAATATAATTTTTTTTTTTGATAGCCAAGAAATCCTCAAAAGCCAGCTAGCACGCAAATCGAACTTAGGTGGATTATCCCATCCTCCCACCTTCTCCACTCAAGTACTAGACTTTTGACTGTGACAGGGTACAACTTATGAAGTGTGTCTAACCCGCACATCACGTGTTGCACTCTTGCCACTAGAACAAAGCCCTAGGGCCTTTGAAGTAATATTTTGATCAGTAATAAAACATTGTGATATGCCTATTCACAGTTCCATATTAAAGAAACAATAACAATGATGCCCTCAAGCATGACACAGACAAAGTTTAAAATTAAAGGTAAGAGGATTTGCTTTAGAAAAATTAACCGGGGAACTGTAATTCTAGAATGTACATACGAGGTTTCAGCAGTAAATATATATATTAGGAAAGGATGGTAAAATTTCTTCAAAATTATCAATTAACTTAGAAAGCTTGGAAATTTGAAAAGAGACTGCTTCTACTTTTAATTCCTTTCATTTTTAAAATAACAAGCAATTCATATATTTAGTAAATATAGTCTTACTAATTAGCATGAAAGGGGTTCGACCCATTAGAGGCACAATTTTCTTCACTTATTCACCCATCAGCAAGACATTCCTGCATTGTTAGAGTTTACTAGAACCATTTAAAAATTTAAAAACTAAGGACCACACAAACATTATACAGAATCTCCGAGCATAAAATATGAAGAAGTTAAAGGCATAAAAGATGAAGCAGAGAAATTCAGTGATGCCTAAATGAAGCAGCAAAACTAAGCAACAACGTGTAAGCTCAATCAAACTGTCTTTCAAGAAATTCATATTACAGTTGCAATGAGAAACAGCTGATGATTAAGTGATAATGCAAGTACATACTACAGCAGTGGAAGTTCAAGCTGAACATCCTTTGAACACATACATACCTTTCTCTCAAGAGCAGACACTTTTTGATGGTACTCTTCTCGCAGAGATTCAACTTCTGCATCATTGGACTTCCTCTGTATAAAATTAGTGTGAGTAAGCAGAGAAAGATAAAAGTAGAAGGGAGTTTTGAGGGCTGAAAGATGAACCTAAAGTCAACATAAGAGGAAAGCTGCAGAATAGGGAACTAGAAAGTTTTTAAAACTGCATTGGAACTCATCAGTTTAAATAAGCACCCAAGGGGTGTACCCTAGTGGTCAATGAAGTGGGAGATAGCAGATACCCCGTGGAATTAGTTGAGGTGAGCGCAAGCTAGCCCAGACACCGGTTATAAAAAATATATATATATATTAATTAAATTTTGGATCAATTATACCCATTTATTCATTACAAAACACATGGATATTGGTGTGCTGTATGCTAATTCCCAGCAGCAATTACAGACCCAATCGCACAAATGATATTAGTACTAAAGGAAAGATAAAATGAACGATAGAAGAATTGCTTGCAAGGATGATTGTCGCCCTAATTATTCTGTACCTAAATTGATATACGAAACAAGCAGTGAGAGAAGGACAGAACATATTAAGTACAAGTCATCTGACAAACAGAAGAGAAGATACGATTTGTCCAAGAGAAAATGCAATGTGTATTGATGTCAAAGTCACCAATGATGTAACACTATGCCACAGCTATAATTCTTTCTGCCCTCCACACATCTAGTCCAGAGAAGTCCGATCATATTGACGATATTTATAAAAAGTGCTTAACAAGTTAGCTGGTAATTAAGATGACTTGACCAGTTAAGCAGAGAGCTTACACAATACTGGCCCACATGTGAGATTTACCTATCCAGAAGAAAAAATGCAAGCAAGGGGACAAAGTGAAAGAAATATCCTTAAATAACAAGCAGAAAATTAAAACTAGAAAAAATATAGAATAAATTTTTACAAAAATGAAAAGGATGATCCATCCTGAAACTATAGTATGTCTTTGACTCGTGCCATTTGAAAAAATAGTAGACAACAACAAAATGAGTTATAGCCTCGAAAGGAACTTTAAAATGATGGGAACTTACTCTCAGATCCTCAATAGCAGACTTCAATTGCTCGTTCTCATTCATCAACTTCGCAATTTCATCAGCTTTCGCCTAAGGAAAAACAGTAATATGTCATCTCATTGAATGTTCATATTTATAAACAAGGACTGAAATTCAGGTCTAGCACACCAAGTGAATTCTTTTTTCAAGTATGCTGCATAACAGTAAGTTTGGATAATGAGAAGTTAAGCACAGAAAGGGAAAAATTAGTCCCAATCTCCCAAAACCTAATATTTATTTATTGTCTTTGGAATAATCTTCCTGCATAATAAGAAAGGGCTAAATGCAACACATTTTTAGCTTCCCTCTAAGTCTTGTCTTTAGGCGTGTACCAACATCCCGTGCCAGTGGATGTTGCAACTTTTCAAAGGATCCACAGACTCAAACAACGGGAAATATCCATGCTTTCAGACATTTGGGACCTCAAGATGGGAAACTATGTTATATAAGACAAGTGCAAGAAAATGTCAAATGGAATGAGTCAATGACGCACACTGAAGATTCAAATCAAGACTTTTTTAACTGAAGCTGGCCTTAGTTAAAATTCAACTCACTGAAGCAACTTTTATCGATGACCTCACAAGTTGGGAGGATGATTGAAAACGAATGGGATTGAGCTAATCTTTAGATAACACAATGGGAATTATTGGACACTCCTACTTCAGGTGCAGACACCAAAATAGTTCATATTCTCAAATAATATCGATAGATTCAGAACCTTGACATTTCCCTGTTTTATTCAGCATGTTATCCTGCGTTATTGCTGATGCTGAGGAACACCAGGTGCACAAATTTCTGTTAAAAGAGCATAAGGACATACCTGTGCTTGTCTAGCAGCTCCTTGTAATGCAGTTTCCATCATTTTCATTTCCTTCTTCAGCTTCTCCAGTTCAACCACTGTGTCTGTAACATCTGAAGAGTTGCTTCCGGAGCTCAACCGTTGTTCTTTCATGTCAGTCTCATAATCATTTCCTCGCTGGGTAGCCCCAACAGGTCTACTAACTGACTCATTTTCATGCATAACTGATTCAGATACCCTCTTCCGACCTTCATCTGTGTGCTGGTCACCAAGAAAGCTCCTGTTAGAATGCTCTTCAACACTGCCATCTTCACTGGCAGTTACAGAATCGGAAACAGAAGGTCTTCCACTTTCTACTCGGTCACTTGACGCATCCTGTGATTGAACTGGAGGAGACTCCTCGGTCACTTCTTTCTTCTCTTCCCTGTCTGCTCGGTCACTTGATGCATCCTGTGATTGAACTAGAGGAGATTCATCAGTGACTTCTTTCTTCTGTTCCCTGTCATCGTCGGTATTTTCCTGTGAGTCAACAAGCAGGGGGATACCAACTTCAGTTTGAGATAAAGCATTTGATGTTTGGGAGGCAATCAACTCCAGATTTTCGGATGATTCTTCCTCCGGAATATTCTTTTGGGGGATTTCTGGAGATTTTTCCCGAGCATGATCTAAATTGACTTCTGACGCTTCAGCCACTGAATCAATTTCAGCTTTTCTTTCATCTGGTCTGGTAGCACTTCTTTGCTCTTCCCTCTCAACCTTTGTTTCCATAGCAGAGTCTAGTTTGACATCAGCAGCTCTTGCTTCCCCGTTTTCTTCTTCAGCAGATATCTTTTGGTTTGGTTTCTCATCAACATTCTGTGCTTCTTCATTCGCTTCTTCAACAGATTTAGTTTGCTCAATTACGTCCCTTGTTTCTTCTTTTGGTTCTTTAGGAACTACATCATGTTGAACTGTAGATTCAGCTGAATCTTCAACTACCTCCTCTGTGGGCAAGGCGGGCTTTGATGACTCAGCTTTCTCTATAGATTCTACAGCAGTCTCCCCACCTTTTTGTCCCATAAAAGCCATGACAGGATCAAACAAGGCCTTCCTATCCGTACTTGAAGGCCATAATCCTGAACCTGCATGCAATCACAAGAAAAAAAAGGAAGCATTGAAATAAAACAGTCAGCCCTAAAATTTGACTATTCCTAAAAAATGCAGCAATATAATATACTTAAGTGGGCTTAACTGAATGCATGGAATATGGTATAGAGGCTATCAATTTGCAACTTTTGCCAGAATCTATGATTTGTTTGGGATTACACTTACATTAGGACCGGATGTTCACCAAGACTCTTTTTAGTCTGGTTCAGGATTTTAAATTAGTATAGTGATAAGTGTGAGATTTAAAGAAACTCTAGTTCAAAAGAATCCTAATTTTCCTGAATAGTGGAATTGACATACATCTATATAGCTGAACCCAACTATGTCTAGGATTAGCTAATTGAAGTTTGGACCAACATAAGCGCAATAGATAAAACGATGAAAAGTATAATATAATCATATAACGATCGAAAAGAGGTACCTTCAGTGCTAGTAGATTCATCAGATTTCTCCTCGAGACCAAGTGCGGTATCGAAATTCTTTTCAATGTTTTTGACGCTCTCACTGAGCTTATTGACGGCACCGGCAAGATCCAAGTTCCCCAAATCAAGTTTCCCACTAAACCACGCCATTCCTTTTCACACTCGATCCGAAGCTCAAATCATATGGCAACCTCCTTCATCCTATAAAATTAAATCCCACATTGTCAAAATCCTATGAATCCAATTAAAACGTCAACAAACAAAACTACCGAGACAAAAAATTATTTCTAAGAAGGTGTTATTCAGATCCCATCATTATATAATTGCCGATTCAGATAGTTCCAACGAAATCAAGGGACGTAACGTGAAAAATCAAATATTGAGAATTTTTTTTAAGATTGAACCTTGGGAAAATGATTTGATTGAAGAAGCTGGATTTGAAGAAACCTCCTTTGGGAAGTGGAGATAGAAGAAAGATTTGGGAAGGGGCGTAAAAGAAATCGATCTGCTGCTGGAACGGTGAACAAGCGTCGACCATCACCCTCTTTTTTCTTTTTTGTTTTCTACTTTTAAACGTTAACGGCGTACAAATTGTAACTTTCAGTATTTTTATTTTTGTCACTCGAATAGGCTTACTGGAGTATATGATATCTTGACGTTAATTATTTTGGAAATTTTTGGATTCGTACAAATTCTTTTTAATTTCTTTTATAATGATTTTATAAATTATGTCTTAATCAGTTGTATCTGGCCTGTTTCGTTCATACAAAGTTTTCTAAAAGTAAAGACTTTTAGATCTTGCATTGATCATGACACTGGTATACACTAACCAAACTTAAAATAAAAAAAGTACTATGGCAAATGCAAGATCTAATTTTTGGAGCCTTCTCTTGTGATATTAATTAATAGATTGGTCACGAAAATTTAGACAATGTCTAGGAAGAAAATATAACGGGAATGAATAGGGAAACAACTTCTCTACAGAAAATTAAAAGTCTTGACTATGTTGTTTCTGAGCAGATGGTGTAGCGAAAATAACCTATTTATCTTCATAAAATACGACAACTCTTCACATATCTCACTCGTATGATTACACTAGGTTTGTTGTTGTTGCTGAATGGGGAAAAGTCTTCCTCTAGAGATTTAACTGCTTTATGTTCCTATTTGCTTACAAATTTGTAACCTTATAAATTTTTAAATTTGGGTTATTCACCCCTTTGGATTGTGGCGTTCGAATTAGTATCTTCTAGCCTAATTCATCATATATCTACTACTAATTACTACTTATTAGAAGAGGGAACACAGGCACCTCTTTGTCAACGTGTGTGTTCCCTTGAATTTTTTAATTTGTCTGGGTATTTTTATAGTTTCATTCATTTCCAGCTCAACCTTATATCTGACTCTTACTGTCGTTGCCCTACACGTGGACTCCCATTTTTAATATCTGTGTAACTTAACTGGGTATTTTATATTATTAGTAGAACACTATATGAAGAGCTTCCAGTCAATGTGAACTGACAAAAAAAACCATGATATTTCAATTTATTCTATCAGAATTCTCAGTCTTTTGGTAAATATAATCAAGTTGGGGGCTTTTAAACACTTGAAAAAAGGAATGATGTAAGGTTACACGTTTAAGAACCCGCGTCCACTACAAATTTAACTCTTTGATAAATCATTACTAAGTATTACTTATAGGGCTTGCCTATGAGCGGAACATATAGAAGCTAGGGGACCCACATAAGGCCAAATCCACCAATCACCCCCTCAAACCACCTACATCTATCATTTATCCTCCTATAGCATTTCGAGTTTCGACCCCCAAAAAAAAAAATTTACATAGTTATCACAAGTAAAGCAAGAACAAGATTATAGTTAAAAAATTTAAAAATGATCCGAAAAAATATAGTTAAAGAAATGACTTTGATTTCCAAATAGTAATAATAACAAAGAATTGGCGGGGGATTAGCGAGTAATTATAAGTTATAAGTTTCTAAGTTATAAATATGTGTTAACCATTTAATAAGCTTCACCGAGAGCCATAAACTCAACCACAATGGGAAAGTTGGAAAGTACTTGAATCGAGTTTATATAGCTTCCAAATTTCTAAGTTATAAATATTGTTAACCATTTCATAAGTTTCGCCACAAACTATTGTGTCGCTATTTAGCATACCATGTAGATGAGATATTTTGGGAAAAACTGTGCGGGCTTATCCCAAAGCAGATAATATTTACACATGTCACTTTGGGCCGTTTTAGTTCAACAACTAGTATTAGAGCGAATGATTTGACTTGACGAGTATGGAGATAGTGCAGTGTGTTGTGGGGATCCGGCTTAGTGCATATGCCCGTCTATGATCCGGTTTATGAACTTTACCGTAACTTTGAAGATGCATACATACCCTTTGAGCTTCGGGTGTCTGTAACTACTGGTATTATGTGGATGACACACAACTAATCTCCAAATTAGCCCATGAACGATTATGGGTCATATGAAACTTAGTTCAAGAGGGAGATTGTTGAGTGTGTCTGGACAAAGTCCGATATATAAAGTAGAAAGAAAAAAAATTCTACTAATAAGGTGTTGAATACTCTTAATGATGTGAGACTTTTGGGGAAAATCGTGCAACCTTAGACGAAATTGGACAATATCACATCATGTTAAGAGTATTTTTGTGTTGTTTTAGTCTAATATGTTGGTTTTCCTTATATTGGTGCAGAGCTAATTGGCGATGCAAATATGAAATGTTTTAGTTATTATTGTCATTATATAAAAATGATACTACTTTTTATATCTCACTTTAGTAATAACTAATGACAAATAATTTAAAAAATTAGTAAAATATCCTTACAAGTGAAAGTTCATAGAATAGTACGATTAGAATTGTAAGATATCACAATGTATAATAAAATAATGTAGTTTTATTTACATTGGGGCCGGGCAAAGCCCGGGCTACCCTAACTAGTATATAATAGAGGATAAGCACGCATGTGATGGCCAACACGTGTGCTTCATCATGAGGATATTTTTGTTATTTTTTCTACTGATGATAGGTTCACCCTAATTTGCCACGTAGAAAGCACCGCTTCTTACAACACAATTCTATCTCTGTTGTATTTCTTTGATTTGCTTTAGTTTAGTACCAAGTTCTGTCTTGTTCTTCTTTATCCTCCTTTTGTCTCTAAGTGTTTGATAAAATTCCTCTCCAGCTTTACTGTGTTTTCCTTGCAGTTCTTAGCTGTTGAAAGCTGCTGAATTTTGATTGTTTAATCAAGGTTTTTTCCCTCATCAATAATCTCTCCTTTGATCTGCAATTTTATACAAAGGTGACAAATTTTTTAAAGGAGTAGAGTTTTTGAATATAGCTTTCTCGGATTATCCTCATCGCATGTCCATTGTGTAATTAGGCGTGTTGTAACTTGTAAGTAGCTTTCATTGTGTACATCTTGGATATTGAGTAAGTTTCTTTTGGTATTAGCTTCTCTTTTTGGTATAGAAAACACAGTAAAAGTAGTATGGCTATACTTTGGTTTAGATTCTCCTGTAGAATACTAAAATTATTGCGATAGTAAGCATTATTTTTGTGCAACGAACTTATGTTGCAATGCAGGCAGCAATTGTGTCCTTTTCTTTTCCCATAATTACTTCCTGTTTTTCATTGGAGAAATATAAAAAATGTGTGCAAGCGGTAAGTATTTACCCGCAGGAACCTAGCAAGAGACAAAATCAGTTCTTGAACTGTTTTTGTTCACTTATAGTTTGAAATTGTTGAAATCATTAAAAGTATTCTTTGTCAATTACAAAGACGAGCTTCCGTTGTTATTATCTGACTAAACAACAACACGTGTACTTTTTTATTTGGAAGGAGCAGTGTTGTCCAAGCCTCATTTAAGTCGCGCTTAAGCCTTGAAGCTCAGGGTATGTGCTTCGCCTCACTTAAGTTGCGCTTCCTTATAGGCAGGGCACTAAGGTGTGCGCCTCATTGCCTATTCTTGAATAAAGCGGCGCAAAACAAATAAATGGAATTGAAAAAATGAAATCTCAATTGTTAAGAAAATCATTATGAATGAAATTGTCATTTTTTTCTTGCATTAGATATATATTTTTATTTTTTTCTTCGTTGCATCTTTTTCAACTAAAGCCCACACTTCAATTGCGCTTTGCGCTTAAAACCCCCTTTGATTACACTAGGAAGGAGTTATAATATGTTGCATCTTTAATTTCTTTTTATTAGTATTAACTATGTCTAAAACTTATCTGCATATAAAGGCATATCTATAAGTTCTTCCTATAAAAAAAATAGTAATATTATGTGGGTACTTCTTGGTGCATCACAAAAATATAGATAGTATCGTCGTGTCGACAAAAAAAAAATTAAGGCATTAAGAGCTAAATGTATCTTTTTACTTATTTCTTTCTATGTATTTGCTGAATTTTGATTCAACTTAATAGATGAAAAACCGAACTTCCGTGTTTGATACGAGTATACAATGTTATATGAAGATTTTTGAATTTCCATTTATGTCATAGCATGTTTGCATATGGATCAGATTGGACACTATATACTTATGATAAAGAAAACTTTGTAGATTGTTTGGTCCCTAATCTCTCTTTGCACATATTATGCAGGAAAAAGCTCTTTCATGGCAACATAGTACAAAAAATACTTTTTGCTTATTTTATTACTTTGCTTTTAATATGGAACTATATTAGTCTTGCCATCAAATTCTTGATTTTATAACTATAGTATTTGACCATTGGAGTTCGCGTGAAGTTTAATATATCAATTACCAGAATGTTATATAACATTGAAAAATGATAGTACATTAACAAAACTTCACGGAATGAAGAAAGTATCACGAAAAATGAAAATGATACTATTGGAAGCAGTTGCCGAAAAATATTAACGCTAACCAATTATTGGGCCCATGCTAATGGTCATGTATATATATAGTGGGAATAAGCAGGCAGTTGATGGTCAACATGCCTACTTGATTCTCAGGGCAATTCTGTAATTTTATAAAATATTAGCAACGTTATTGGCTAAGAAATGGTATTACTGTAGCTGCCAAGTAGAATTTTATGTGCATTAACCAAATTATCAATTTCTCCCACGGTAGCTTCTTTGCCTAACTTTGTACCCCCTCGTGTTCCCACATGTTCCCACCTTCACCCAATAACCCAATCGTTTGTGTGTATAATTTTAGCAGTTCCTAACATGCAATTGTTTGAATCTATGCGTGGCAAACTTTTTAAAAATTAATTGAAGTTTTAACTCTACCTAAACATTTTCGGTGTGTGTATTCTTTAGCAAATTGTGACATGTAATTTGTTTGAATTTTTGTGTGCAGAACTAAGCTGTAAAAATTAGTTGAATTTTTCTAACAAGTTTTTGCAGAATAACTATAACGGGGGTAACCAATTTTAGTACAGTTTATACGAAAAGTATTTTGGACTTAACTATATTAAATTATATTTTACTTATTGTTATTAATAATTTAATATTGAAGGATCTTATATGGTTTAAATTTATGACTTTATAATTTGACATTTAATTATTTATGACATTTATGATCGGTACTAATTAAAAAGGCATTTTTTACCATTTTTGGTACTCTTGACAAAGGAAAAAAAATACTATGCAATACAAATACTATATTTCAGATTAGTACAATATATTTATTTCAAAAGCATAATTATTCTCTTTCAATTGTTTGTGAGTAAAAATAGGATGAACTAGGATACAATAATAATATGAGAGATTGAATTGATAAACGAGCATAGTTATAAAGAATTACTAAGCCTTTTGGTGAGAACTTTTAGACATGTGGACAAACATAGATAACCATATGTGGTTAGGCTTTAAATAGGATAAACAACTTGTTAGGGTAATCATGGATTTTATATCAAACACACAAATTTAAGACTGAGTAATTTGTGAAAGGCTCAATGATTATGTATCGCATTCTTTTCCAGTTTATAGTTAGGTGCTTGAAGGGGGATTTGCATACGTACCTTATATTTGTGCCACCTTTTAACTTGTACCATATTTTTTTAAAATTATTAATTTGATAGCCATCTCACAAAAAAATATAATAATATGACAATTACACCCCTAACGAAAGATATAAAACGGTCTCCTCCTCTCATCTCAGCAACTTTATAAAAAAATTAGAAACTTGTCCAGATTCATCTTCAGAATCACACTTGCATGAAGTTGTTTCACCTTGAAGCTAAAACTTCATGCTAATGTAGCATGAAGTCATTTCATGTTGTAGCTAAAACTTCATGCTAATATAGCATGGAGTTATTTCACATTGAAGCTAAAACTTCATGCTAATACATGCTGAAGTTATTTATCCTGTAGTCTACAGTTTTGCCATTAATTTTATCTGAAACTTCAGTCTATACATGCTGAAGTTATTTAGTTCATTTGCTAAAACTTCAGATTAAACATGCTGAAGTTATTTAGTTTATTTGCTAAAAACTTCAGACTAAACATGCTTAAGTTATTTAGTTCATTTGCTAAAATTTCAGACTAAACATGCTTAAGTTATTTAGTTCATTTGCTAAAACTTCAGACTAAACATGCTTAAGTTATTTAGTTAGTTTGCTAAAACTTCAGACTAAACATGCTTAAGTTTTTTAGTTCATTTGCTAAAATTTCAGACAAAACATGCTTAAGTTTTTGTCTTGTAGTATGTAATTTTCTAATGAGTTTTTGCTAATGCATCCTGAAGTTATTTAGTTCATTTGATAAAATTTTAGACAAAACATGCTGAAGTTATTTAGTTCATTTGCTAAAATTTCAGACTAAACATGCTGAAATTTTTAGTTCATTTGCTAAAATTTCAGACTAAACATGCATAAGTTTTTGTCTTGTAGTATGTAATTTTCTAAAGAGTTTTTGCTAATGCATGTTGAAATTATTTAGTTCATTTGCTAAAACTTTATACCAAAATATGTTGAAGTTTTGTAACGCAGTCTACAGTTTTGTCCTGAGTTTTATCCGAAACTTCAGTCTAAACAAGCTGAAGTTTTTTAGTTTATTTGCTAAAATTTCAACCTAAACATGCTTAAGTTTTCCCCCTGTAATCTGTCAATAGTCTTTTATTAAAGAAAGGGCAAAATCGTCATTTTAAAATACTTTTAACAAAAAAAATATGTACTAATACAAACGGAAAAATAAAACGGGTATAAGTTAAAAATGGGCGACCAAATAGGGCGCCCCATGCAATTTTTACGGTATTGGATAAGCCATCACTATAAAAGAATGATCGTACCACTTATGTAGGAGGATAATTATACCACTTACTTAGGATAACTATATAGATTATATAATTATATTATATAGTTATAAAATTATATTTCTATACTCCCTCAATTTCAAAAAAATTGTCTTGGTTTGACTTGGCACAACTTTTAATAAAAAGGGAAAACTTTTGAAAAATATGGTCTTATATAAGTCATAACATTTGTGTCGCTGTAAAACTTTTGAAACTTGTAGTATGAAACCTGTTATAGCATTTGTATGTCTATAAATGCTTCCCATTAAGGAAATATTGAAAGGTGACAATTTTATTGAAATTGACTAATAGGTGTCAATCTTTTTGAAACATAGGAAATACATTATATGTTTATATAAAAATATAGTTTTTTCATAGTTTTGGGGTTAATTAAAACTAATATTTCTTTCCTTCATAATAAAGTAAAATTTATGTAACTTCAGCATATTTACGTAGTGTATATATATCTTCAGCATATATATATATATATATGGTGTCTTACCAATAACATAGTAGTTTTCATGGACTTCCCTATGATCGAAAATACGTTTTACTTTTAACTAAATTAATTTGGCAAAAGTAATTGTGGCTTTGAAAAATCAAGAAGTCATTAATTAGTATATTTCCAAATCCATCCTTGATCCAATTTTTGGATCTACAAAATATGAGAATATTCAAAGAGTAATTTAGAGGATATAAAGGATAATGCTATTAAATGATTTTCTTAATAGGTGTGTCAAAAATTTAGAAGCACTTATTTTGAATGAGAGATAGCATCATCTAAGAAACTATATCCATAACTATTTTAAAAACTTGACATTGTAAGTAAAATTTTATATTACAAATGTAAATAAATTTAAAAAAATTTACGCATACTGATTCGTACAACTTAAACATAGTGTTATTGAGCCCATGCACAACATGGTCTATCCCTTACTAGTATCATGCATATGCAAAGCAACTCTATGTTGAATTTGTCAAGTTATCTGTACAAACCCCATAAATCTCATCTGACGGCATTCAACTTATAAGAACTAAAATTATGTAACTTACGTGGTGATACTGATTTGTAATTAAGCACTCAATGATAAACCTACTGGAATTTGACATGGATATGGACAGTGGAGGATCCAAAATTTAAACACCATGAGTTCTAAAATGCAAAAGTAAATTTAAAATGTATGTCCACTCTATAGAAACTTATTTTCTCATTGAGTTCTACCTCGACATACTGAATTCTGTGAACCCATTGATGGATCAAACTGAATATGGCAGCGCGGTAAAGAACCAAAAGATGCTGAGAGACGGACGGTGAAAGCACTATTGTTTCAGTTGCCAAAAGGTATATTAACAAATTATAGATGTAAGATGTCGCAGTCAATTAAAAAATAGGTTGCTTATTGAGCTGCAATTACATAATTTGATCAGTGAGACTGATTCCGACTTGCCTGCTGCTTTTTTCAAGTGCAAGTTGCTCATTTGAGCATATCATTTCACCCGTAAAATGATTCAGCATTTTTGTAATGCTTGGATACATAAAGTACAACATGAATTATATCATCTAACTATCTTCAGATCACTGGCCCAAGATATCTGATATTGATTTATTGATAGCTTGAAACAATTCTTTCCTGTCATTTGGGAAAATAAAGAAAACGTGAGGTGGAGCGCATAGTATCAACTATGAACGAAGTAAAGCAGACAACTAAATGTGTATGGTCGGACACCAGTGTAAAAACTATAAATTGACTGAGGCAACCATGCAATAGCATCCGAATGAAGAATTTGGAGACGGTTGAAACCAAAAATGGCTACCAGACATAAGAAAAGCACAAGGTTTAGTGGTATCTTTCACTAGTTACATGTACAAAACAGACTTAAACAGCTAAGGGAAGGAGGGAGTAAGATCGGAGACACTTGGTAAGAAAAAAGGGTATATTTGGTAAAGTTCTTTACCTGTCGGGCTTGAATAAGAGGTATCTGTATACGAACCACTGCAAAAGAGAAAAAACAGGAAATGCATTAGGTTAATGATTAATAAGGAAATCAGAATCCGAACATACTAAACTCACTGTTTGACAACTGAAACGATAAAAGAGAACTAAATTTATCTATTGTTCCTCAATAATACAGGAGAAAATAAGTGTGCTTCAGTACTTACAGAAGAAAACAATATCCCAACGAATTCAAACACACTTGGAATGAAGGGCAGGTGGTCGATTGCCTATACAAAACTTAAAAACATCAGTACATTCACAATTCTCAATAATAAAAATCTATGGATCTCTCAGTAGTATATGGTAAAGCAACAGTGATAGGCCTAACACTGATGTAAAAATACTAGTTTGAGGTCAGACGTTGCACTAGTGGTGTTTCCAGCAGAGGGCGTTGGAGCTCAATATATTCTTGGATAGGTATCACCGATTGCAAATGTCATAGAGATTTTGTCAATCACCAAAGAGGTGATATTGTAGACTTCTCAATGTGGTATGGGCATAATATAACTCCACCATCTATATATAAACCAACAACAATTACCGCAATAAGATTTGAAGAAGCCCAGAAACCAACAATAGCAGCAATTCCCAACCCAATTACAGCAACACGGTCTTCAGGCTTGTCCCACTGTTTCAACAATCAAACAAGACACAATTCAACCATCGAAGCATAACAAATAAGGTTATAGGATCAATGTTGCTTTACAATTCCAGAAATTTGTTCTTTTTTTTCCTTCTTGAGGGAGGGGGGTGAGGGGGAGTGTAGCAGGGAATCATCGCCTTTGTGCTATCAACCAGAATTGCTAGGACGGAAAAGTGCAAAGGATGAACAAAACAATTGAAGATTTATTGACAGCTTCATTTTGGAATCTTTTCCCAGGAGAAATGAGCATTTGATTGATTCTGATTCTCGTAATGAATGTCACTACAATGAACTATAGGAATCAAGATATGATATAAGAAAAGGAGAGAAGGGGCACTCACAATATTCTTTACTGATTGAACAACACTTGAGGATTCAGAACTATCACTCGTAGCCTTTGCTGTGATGGCCAGATGACTTTGTCTTGCTACAATAAAAGAGTAAAAGTCAGAAGGAGTCTGTAAAATATGAGTACTATTTAATATGAAAACTAACCGAGGAGGAGTCAAGACATAAATTAAATAGGAGAAATTTCATTACTTCCATGGTGATTTATAGAATCCAAAATCTGGACCTAAATATGACTTGGCATCTTCAATAAGCTTTCAAGGTAAATCTTACCTGGTTTAGCGGTATCAATAGTTCGATAACTCTAAATTGAGAACTTCATCTTGCAAATCAAATGATACTTCACGAACGTTCTATTTACAGGCTCATTCACCTCCGTAGTAGCCAAAGGTCAATCACGACGACTTCAGGATAGCCTCATCTAACCGGCTCATTTACTTCTATCTATAGTAAATATGGAATAGCAGTATTTCTTTTGCATGTAAGTGATATTAGTTAATTGACTAATCGCTAGCTCTGCTCGTTAAGTCTTCTCTATGGATCAAATACACCTATATAAACGATAAACATTCATACTAGTCTTTAAATTCTAGTGAAATGTAGCATCATCCCATGTTTCCCACTCCATTTTAAGTATACTAAATAAATGTAAGATGTCCACATGACCAGCAGAATTCACTTTCTCCAACTACAACTATATGAGAAGTGTCAAGTGACAAATAGGTCATCGGTTTACCCTAGTAAAAAGGGGTCATTTTCCCCTTCACCAAAAGTTACAATCCCGGTTTTATTACTGAAATTTCACCTACTAAATTACAAACACAACCTCAAGATTATACTACTTCAATAAGACACAAAAATGAACTCTTGTTATTAAGTTCACTACATCTTATTGTCCAAAATCCAAATCATCTACTGTCAACAACAAAATGAGAAAAAGAAATTCTAATTGCGGATATATATTGAAGAAACTTACTCCTGGGGATAGAAAGAATAGATGTCTGAACAGTTCCAAAAAATGACTGTCTTCCACTGATGGCTTGCGGAGGAGGATGCAACTTAGCTACGACTGAAGCCATCTGAGAATTTTAACTTTGTTTTGCCAAATGGGTCTTTGGTTTTAAGAAACAACAGTTCGAAGTGAGATTGAAAGAAAGCTGATAATTTTCGGAGTAGGAACTACAGAACCAGATTGGGCAGTGAAGAACACGCAGCTAGATAAGCCACAATAATGATAAGAGACAATAGTTAGAGCCAAAGCTGAATGTGGGAATCCGAAGGCCAGCTCTTGTCGTCCCATAATTGTGCCATTTTGTCAACAAAATGATAAAAATGGTTCCCTATGTTTAGTGGTATGTTTAAAACAGTCCTTTAAGTATACTTTGAATAGTTTTGATCCTCTAAATTTGTTAAAGTGAACAATTTTTTAACTCCGTAAAATAGCAGTTACTTAGTTTAATCGAAAAATTATGGAAAACAAAAAGAATTTTACATTTGGATGTGCAGTTTCTTTTTTCTTTTTTTTGTGTGTGTGCATATTTCTAGTATCAAGTTGAGTTTTTGAAATGCAACTTTTACTTACTTATTTGGTTTATTTTTGATATTTGGCGCAACTTTTGGTATGGCAATTTCTAAAATTTGACGAGACTTGTTTCTGTTAAATTTCTACAGTTTTTATACATCTAAAATATATAGGGTTTTGTATTTTATGTCAAACATTATATAAAATAATATGAATTTTTATACCATAATTATCTTTGCTTATACATGTAATCAAACGCGTTCTTAATTATTAAAGAGGTAGGAGGAGGGAAAGGGACAAATTATTATTTTTATCTCCCGGGTGAAGTTAATGTATGTATATACATAATGTATATATACATCATCTACTGAAAAATTATTATTTTTATTACAATATCAGTTTTAATACTTAAAATAAAAAGGGTACCTCAATATACAAAACATTTGTTTTCACGCGATGTTCAAAGAAGTGCCACATTTCGAAAGGTATGGTATAAATAACATAGCATAATATATACATTAGTGATTGCTTATATTTATAATAAGTTTATAATTATTTTTAAGCAATCTAATTATTTGTGCAAATATTTTTCGTACTTCAACTTATAAAACTTAAAATCTTTAAAATTTATACTCAATTCCTGTTCTTCAGTACTGTAATTAGTGGTGTTCATAAAAATCCGAAAAATCGAACCAAACCGACTAAAAAATCAATACTTTTTAGGTTTGGTTTGGTTTTAATTTTGAATTTTAAAAACCGAACAAATTTGGTTTGATTTTGGTTTTAATAAAAAAATAACCGAAAAAATCGAACCAAACCGACTATAAAAGTAGCTATTTAAATTTTTTATCACACACACACACACACACACATATATATATTCTAAAATTTTATGGTACATATTAGTCATTTGTATTTTTAGTCTAGTTCTTTACTATTATATTAATCTAATTCTTTGCCTTTACATTCTACTTTGATTGGTAGTTTTCTTTTGCTAAGTACAATAAATCGAATTTATTTCATGTTAAAAATAATTGATATTTAATTGAATACTATTATTCATCACTATTTGATTCAATTATCATCAATATATCTTGGTAAATGATAGATTTCTCAAAGAATAATTGATTTGATAGTGTTACGTTGAAAATGTAGTCACCGGAATATGCGTTTGATAGTGTGTCTTATATTTAAGAAAAAACCCGATAAATAACCGAAAAACAGAAAAATCGACAAAAACCGAATCGATAAAAAACCGACTTAATTGATTTGATTTAGTTCTAATATTTGAAAAATCGACTTACTTAATTTAGTTTCTTCTCAGGAAAAACCGACCCAAACCAAGAACACTCCTAACTGTAATCTATTTATGGCTACTCTTGACTTTCAAGTTGATGGAGTTGATGCAGAAAGTGCCGCACAAGTGATCATATCCTCCAGAAAAAAACATTTTCTTATGTTAAATATATCTTTGATACGACATAAACTCTTAAATTACTCCCTTTGTGCAAATTTATTTTGTACAATTCGAATTTTAAAACTTATTTTTTAATCTTGACTGTTAATTTGAACATATCTTTAAATTTTTAAATAAAATTTTTATATTTGAAAACTACATAAGAAGTACTATAAATTACAATATGTTAACCGTTCAAAATATTTAAAATATATATGAAAAATCGTGATAAAAAGAACTCATTTGACTCTCGTAATCCGAAATAAATCACATATACTAAGACTGAGTTTCAACATTTCCACGGCTTATTTGTTGCTATTTTTTGTGAAAATATGACTGATGAGAATAGATAGCGATAAAATAATTAAGATCTTAACCGTAAAAAAATAAGATTATGTGCATATAAGAGTAGGTCAATCAAAAGTAAATGTCAAACAACCATGTTATTATGACTTAGGAGTATTTAGGATTACTGAATTCAAAACTTTCACGATTTTAGAAATCTCAATCCTGCCACTTTAACATACACAAAAAATCAAAGCTATTCATGTTCTAGTCAATTACTAGTGATTATTAGCGCGGTTATTCAAAAATATCTATTCTACTATCGCACTTACTCCACACTTCAAGGTAAGTGTTCAAGATCAAGAAAACGCAGCTAACGATTAAGCCGTAAGAATACTATATTAATGAGTTCAGTGCTAAAAATTTATTAATGAGTTCAATGCTAAAAATCTTAAAAGCTGAACTCATAGAGTTTAAAGTTTGAATCCGTGGTAGAACCTACCGGAGAAGACAAAAAAAAAAAAAAAAAAAAAAAAAAAAAAAAAAAAAAGAACAAAATAAAACAACGCCTCAAAATTTTGTTTCCAGATTCCCACACCTTAGAATTTCACAATAATCGCTTTGAAAAGTTACGATACGCATCTTGAACATAATTCAGTGTTCTCTAATTAGTCGTTTCAGACTACTCCATGTTTTTCATCTTATGATGGTATGTGACTGACGTAGAAGTTAAAATATTAATTTGACTCAAAACTCTCTGATTCTAATCCCTCTCCGTTCCTTCATTTGTTTGTTTTATATCCTTTAATTCACCTAACCCCACCCAAATGATATTTCCCTCTCTCTCTCTCTCTCTCTCTCTCTCTCTCTCTCTCTCTCTCTCTCTCTCTCTCTCACGCGCGCGCGCGCGCGCACACAGAGTCATACAGTCAAAATGCACATCGAAAATCAAAATTCAATGTCATATCTTCACCATAAAACAACACAATAGCTAATCAAAACACTGCCATGAAATTTGTGGACATGTCGAACAACACTCCTTCTAATTCTCACGCCAAAGATTTTGCATCTCCTGCTCTCACTCTCAGTCTTGTAAGTCGTGTTATATATTTTCTCCAATCACCCCTTCATTTCATTTTCTGTATATCAAACTTACTGTTTCTCGTCAAAATGCTAGCTGAAAGTAGATACCTGTCTTTGTTTTGCATATATATAGTAGTATTAAAAGATTATTTGTTTTTTTAATTCTTGAATATTCTTGAAGGCTGGTATTTTCCGAGATGGTGCAGCTGGAAACGAGGAGACGGAGGAGGTTGACGACGGAAGTGCCGGCGGTGGCCGGAGAGAAGAGACGACGATGGTTGAGATTAGCAGTGAGAATTCTGTACCCCTGATGAGTACTTTATCACGCTCTCGTGATGATTTTGATGCCGAAAACGAAGACTACGACGACCCCACCAACAGTAAGAAGAAGAAGTACCACAGACACACTGCACATCAAATCAGAGAATTGGAGGCGTAGGTTCATACAAATTTCACTTATTAATTAATTTCGCTTTTGGAAAAAAATATTTCAAAATTTTTCTAAGTCCCAAAAACTGATTTAGTGCAATTTTTGAATGAAAATTTTTCTTCACTTAAAATACATGTCCAAACACTAGCTTTTTATTAGCTTGTAAATATAAATCCCAAAGAGTAGTTCCTTTTTGTTTTTGTTTTTGGGAAAAAGTAGTGTAGTACTACTTGCAATACAAAGATGAAAAAGTGCATTGAGTCAGCTTTAAAAGTTAAGCCATTTTTAAACTTAGTTTGAAAGAAAAAAAAATCTAAAAGTATTTTACAGTTGAAGAGCTAAATTGTGTGTCATCAAAAAACTTTTGACAGCTTATTTAAGGAGTCACCCCATCCAGATGAGAAGCAGAGGCAGCAGCTAAGCAACCAATTGGGTCTTCATCCGAGGCAAGTTAAGTTCTGGTTTCAGAATAGAAGAACCCAAATTAAGGTAACCATTTTAAGACCGTCTATATGTCGATCATCTAATTTTGAAGAGCAGTCCTAGCATTGTTTTCTACTTGCTTAAGGGGTCATTTGATTATATGTATTCTATCATTATAAAATATTGTATTAAATGTATAATGTTTGGTTCGTCGCACAAAATAATAGTCACTCTATATATACTGCAGCATTTGGTTGGTCACGTAAGAAGAAAAAAAATCTCTGTATTTGGTTGATAACATAAAATTATATCCTCATTAAGTTTTATCAAAATCTGGGAATTATTTCAAAACGAATATTATAGAATGTGAATATATAAAATAATATATACTAGCTATTTTTTAATCCTGATACAATATTTTCAATATTAATTACTGCTCGGCAATTATTTCATTAATCCTACATTGATTTGTTCAAAAGAATGATACTTTTTATATTTGGAAGCAATTTTACTTTGAATTTTATATTTTATCCTGATGAGAAATTTTTATAGCTATATAAATACTATGCATATTTAAAGAATGTATTATAGCGTGTATGAAATCACAAATTTCAAAAATTTAGTTTTTGGTTAAACTCGGTGCCAAATCACATAAATTGAAACAGAAGTAAATTGAGTACACTAGTTTGGTTCACATAGGACGAAAACCAAACGAGTGCTTTCTACGAGGCTCTTTCTCTTGGAACGTCTATCCGTACTCCTCTAAGAAGTACAGACTGAGTATTATCCAAGAAAGATTTTACATATTTTAATCATATCCAAGAAAGATTCTGCAACTATTAAATCTTTCTTGGATATGATCATAATGTTGCAAACCGGACCGTACCTCGATATAGCAGTCTTTTGTCCTAAATTCTGAACAAATATTACTTATAATCTGTAATTTGTTGTAAAATTAATGACTCATCTTGCAGGCTATACAGGAGCGCCATGAAAATTCATTGTTAAAAACTGAAATAGATAAACTTAGTGAGGTAAATAAAGCATTAAGGATGGCCATGAAAAAAAATATTCCTTCTTGTCCTAGTTGTGGGTTTTCTAGCTCCAGCAAGGAGGCTGCTGTTGTAATTCCCACTCAAGAACAACAGCTACGTATTGAAAATGCCAGACCTAAAACCGAGGTAATTGGAAAACTAATCTCAAAGAGTAAACTCGCTATATTATTTTCAAGATCTAATAATTATTGAAAGCAGGTTGAAAAACTTAGGGCAGAACTGGGAAAATACACAAAAGGGACATCGCCTACTACTAGTTCAGGAGGGAATGACGAAGAAAATAAAAATGGTTTAGAATTGCAGACAGACACTTTTGGGCTTGAAAAGTCACGGATTATGGATATTGTTAATCAAGCAACTGAGGAGCTTAAAAAGATGGCTACTTTTGGAGAACCACTGTGGATCAAAAGCTTTGAGACTGGAAGAGAAATACTTAATTACGACGAATATATGAAGGAATTTCCAACAGAAAAGTCAGGAGAAGAACGGCTTACAAGATCTATTGAGGCATCCAGGGACACTGGAGTAGTATCTATGGATTTGCCTCGGCTTGTCCAGTGTTTTATGGACGTCGTAAGATCACTTATCCCCTTACCCTCTCACCTAATTAATGAATTTTTACTTATCCGTGTAACTTAACATGTTATAATTTTACTATTATATTCTAGGTCACTAATTAATGCCTCTTAACTTGCAATTGAGTTATATGCACCGATATATAATACTGTAAAGAAACTTGTCTTATTTCTCACTTTACTGATCCATTTTTCGAATAGTCACTTGTGGTTATCCTTGAAATGATCTAATAATAGTAGAAAGCTTGTTTGTTTTTTTGGCATGTCAGCATATAGAAATTAAACTCTTTCTATTAATTCATTTACTTGCTCCAACAGAATCAGTGGAAAGAAACGTTCCCAGGCATGATCACAAAGGCATCTACGTTAGACGTGATCCGCAATGGTGAAGGCGATAACTGGGTTGGTGCCGTCCAGTTGGTGAGCGGCTTCTAACCTTATTATTTGCCCTCCAAACAGTACAACAACAACAACAACGATGACGGCCCAGTAAAACTCACTAGTGGGGTCTGGGGAGGGTAGTGTGTACGTAGATTTTACCCCTAACCAAGGAAGTAGAGAAGCTAGCCCTCCAAACAGTTCTTACCTCTCTTTTTTTCTTGATAAGGTAGAGAATATCCTAGACATATATTATGCTTCAATAATTGCTTAATCGTTTTAGGACAAGGTCTGTTAAAAGTTTTACAATGAAAAGATTAAAAAGTCACGCTATACACTATAGAGGATGGACTAAAAGAAACATAACTCAACGACATAAGCATGTGCATAAAGAAAAGCATAGAGTCATTGGATGGTTTTGTCATTAATGACTTTATTTCTTGCAAAATCTATGTTGTTTGTGGCCTTTTAACTGTCAATTTCTTTTCTTTTTTCATTTACTTTCTGCAGTTATAGTTAAAGTAGCCAACTTATGAAGTTTTAGATAAGTTTATTAGTTTCAGAATTTAACCTAACAGAATGGTTTTTGTCATTGTGTTCTTAACTCACTGGTCTCGGGACAGATGTTTGCAGAACTGCAGATGCTAACACCGGTTGTGGGCACGAGGAAAGTATACTTTCTCAGATACTGCAAACAATTAGGTGCAGATCAGTGGGCAATTGTGGACGTTTCTGTGGACAAGGTTGAGGACAATATAGACGCATCTCTCATGAAATGTAGAAAATTACCCTCTGGCTGCATTCTCCAAGATCAATCCAATGCCCACTGTAAGGTCAGTTGCTAACCAACCCCCAGTTAATCCAAACCCTTTGAATAGCCTTTTTATATGTTTATATTAAAAAGACTGGTTAATCCAATGGCTCTTAGGTTTGGGAGCTATGTACCTTAAATTAAATGTCTATACACCTTAAAAAGAAGGATCAAGAAACATTTATGCAACACTTGAGGAAAAAAGGAAGCCCTGTAAAGGAAAAGAACGCTTTAAAGTTCACAAGAAACATAAAGGAATGAGAGGAATTGAATTCTACTTGCTTGTAGTTTCCAATGGGATCGATCTTCCGTTATTCAGGTGACCTGGGTGGAGCACTTGGAGTGCCAGCAGAGCACAGTTCATTCTCTCTACCATGCAATTGTCAATAGCGGCCAAGCTTTTGGAGCGAGGCACTGGATGGCTACACTGCAGCAGCAATGTGAGCGCCTAACCTTCTTCAAGGCAACCAGCGTTCGCATAAAAGATTCAACGGGTAAGTTTGAAGTTTCATTCCCAATTCATTTCTCTTCATCATTATCATCAATAGTATAGGAATGAAATGAACCGGACGGATATAGCTTATTCCACATAACGTGGAACTGAAGCATAGTATATTGATTGATTATATCACCTATCATAATAAAAAACTACGAGTCTAAAATGCAATCCGCTTTCTAATTCTGTAAAGGACCAGATGTTGCTACACTTGCTGGGCGAAAAAGCATACTTAAATTAGCACAAAGAATGACCTGGAGTTTCTGCCATGCTATTGGGGCATCTAGTTATAACAAATGGGACAAGATTCACAGCAAAACCGGAGATGATATTAGGGTGGCGTCTAGGAAGAACTTAACAGATCCTCGGGAACCATTTGGTCTGATCCTCTGTGCAACTTCATCTGTTTGGCTGCCTGTTTCTCGCAATGTACTATTTGATTTCCTAAGAGATGAAACCCGCCAACATGAGGTTAGTTAATTTCATTAGCTCTACATGTATATATTTGAAAAGAAGCTTCTGGTGTGCTACTTGCCTACTTTGACACTCTGATTTCAAATGTCTTTACCAAAGTGTAATATCATGTCAAATGGAGGCCCCGTGGAGTCCATTGCAAATTTAGCAACGGGTCAGGACAGAGGAAATGCAGTTACTATCCAAGTGAGTCTGCTCTCCGGGAAGAACTACATTTGGTTTACACCTCTCCTCTTTCCTTTCTCATGTCCACAAGAAGGAAGAAAACTTACTACCAGTTTTTCCTGATTGAGACTGCATATTGTACTCAGGCAATGAAATTGAAAGAAGACATGTGGATCCTCCAAGATACCTGCACGAATGCTTATGAATCCACAGTCGTATATGCCCCCATCGACATTGGAGGCATGAAATCTGTCATGACCGGCCGTGACTCTAGCAATGTTGCAGTGTTACCTTCAGGTTTCTCAATTCTTCCGGATGGCCTCGAGTCAAGGTCTTTAGTTATCACTTCTAGACCAGAGGAAAAATGTACAGGAGGAGGATCCCTACTAACAGTTCTATATCAAATTCTAACTAGCAACTCTCCAGCAGTGAAACTTTCTAAGGAGTCTGTTGAATCAGTTAACAATCTCATATCATGTACATTGCACAGGATCAAGACAAGTTTGCAATGTGAAGATGGGTAGTTTATTCTTGTAGGCACAGAGATGCTAATTTCATTATACAGATAATATAGTTTTCCTCAATCCTTTTCATCTTAATAGATATGATAAAAAGGATTATATAGGTTGGTTCCAGCCCGGTTATAGAAAATTTTCACTCATTCAGATAAGAACTTGTCTAGTCTAACATATCTGGAATGATCTGATGCTATCAGGATAACAACCACCAAGGATACTTAATAGAATATTGAATTGTATATGACAGAGCTTTTTACTATTTTAATACAGAATTTAATATGTAAAAAAATCACAAAACGTCAATAAATACTATATTTTGAACCCATTAATTTTAAAAGGTGCAATGGATTGAATCGTAATACCATGAGTTGAGAAAATTAAAATTTTATATCTGCCTTTAAAAGTAAGGTCGATATTGACCTTATAAAAAATATATATTATAACAGACTATGAGCATGACTATTAACAAATATTACACCTAAATTAAAGGGATAGGGTTACGAATTATCCATTCTCGGTACACGTGGCTCCATTCAAATGGCACTCCATATCTCTAGAAATATGTCCAGCTGCCAACGTGTAATGTTCGAATCCATGCAAAAAGATTTAAACAAAAGCAAACGTATTCATAGTCAGATCATTTGCCAAACCACAAAAGGTACAGCTTTCCTAGTTTGGACAGAAAACTATGGCGTCTTTGGCAACTCTTACTGCAGTTCAGCCCACCACCACAATCAAGGGCCTAGCGGGAAGCTCCATTGCCGGAACAAAACTCAATGTTAAATCATCTCGCCTCAATTTGAAGCCCTCTAAATCCAGGTAAGGTAGTAGCTATAAGCTAACGACTTCCAAATGAGAGGATATCGGATTTTATGTCAATGAATACGGAATGCTACAACTCTAAAACATTTTGAAGACGTGCACAGTTTGCACCTGTAATTTGGGGTGGTTTTAGGGCGAGTTCTACGGGTTCAATAGAATTCATTGTTGTCGGCTCAAACTAAGTACATATGAAAAAAGACAAGAAAAAGCAAAATGTATATTTGTAATTGTTGGAAAACTAATTCAAAGCTACAGTAGTAAACCTTAGTTATTTAGCATTTGGTTTATTTATTCATGTCTAAATAAGATTTATAGTCATAATTAATATAGGAATAGACTTCCCTATTTCTAGTTAAAATAGGTTTCGTACTATTATAAACAAGGGTACTGATAACTTATTTTATGTGCGGAGGAAATAAAGAATTGTAGAGATTTAATAAAATATTTTTTCTTCTGTAATAATTACATCACAATCATTATGAACACACAAACTCTAAATGATGGATTTGCCTGTGTCTAAACAGGGTAGTTCTTGGTCTGTCAACCCGGAAGTTGTTTGGTTAGTTGTAAAGTTTAAAGATGGAATCAATTCATCTAAGGGTCTTAAGAAATGTTATTCTATTCATCTCAGGCGTCAAAGACACATACTAATAAAGATTGAAGTGATGGACTAGCATGTTGTTGTTGTGTTTCTTTTTTGACTGATTAGAAGTTTGTGTAGGGCTGGTGCTGTGGTAGCAAAATATGGTGACAAGAGTGTATATTTTGACTTGGAGGATTTGGGAAACACCACTGGTCAGTGGGACTTGTATGGATCAGATGCACCTTCACCCTACAACCCCCTTCAGGTATTATACTTGCTTTTCTCCCCTTTATAAACATCCACATTATATTCTCTATTAAAATGCTCCATATTAATTTACTTGCCATGACTGTGGATAGTACTTGTGTAAGTGAACTCACATACTGAGTTATAACTGTTCCTCCTATTACTTTTATATTTTGTAGAGCAAGTTCTTTGAGACATTTGCTGCTCCTTTCACAAAGAGAGGTCTGTTGCTCAAGTTCTTGATCTTGGGAGGTGGCTCAACTCTTGCTTACTTCAGTTCAACTGCATCAGGGGATATCCTACCAATCAAGAAAGGGCCTCAACTTCCTCCAAAGCTCGGGCCACGTGGCAAGATCTAATTGCTTTTTAGACCAAATTTCTTGACCTTCATTTCATAATTGATGTACTATCTATCACAGCTTGTAAGTATAAATTGAAGCCTTCCTCAGACCGCTTTTCAACAAGTAAATCTTCTAGCAAATTTGATGCATTGCTTTCTGACTTTGTATGATATTTTATTCATCTTTGCTCAGTGGTTTACCGATAAAGGAAATGATACTGTAAATTATATGGACTCCAAATCTGTATTACAGACTTTCTATCCAATAAATCTGAAGACCAAAGGCCATACAACTTAGGATAGGACTATTTGAAAAATGTCCAAAAATCCTCGTTGTTCTTTAACGAGGTAACATCTTATACAGAGTAAATCACTTAAAAAGAAGTGTCACAGACCCAGTAGGTCTACTAACTTTTCCCTACTTACAAAAAAGAATGGCTTAGTTAAATCCTAGATGGCTGTGATCCATCTCAACATGTACATTTGAGGCTGAGCTCTCACACTTCAATGAGTTAATTAATATTCTGCAGTGCCATCAGTTAGTGGCGGGCTGTTGGACTTCTACACATACCTAAGTTCTCTAGGTAAGAAAATCTCTTGTTGGTGACTATGTTAGGAGGTTTGCCAAGAAACTTCACATCAACATCTTTAGTTGAGTCCTCTTTCAAATCTTTCTTTGTGTTGTTATCTTCTTGGTCCGCTGTCCAACCGATGAAGTCCAGAAGTGTTTTACCTACTTCTTCTGTATCTGGTAGTGATCTCTTTACTTCTCCATTGGAAGGATTTTGGGCCATGGCATCTGCTTGGAGAACGTCTTCAATTCGTGACATGATTGTGAATGCCCTGCTTTCTATTATTCTTGAATAGCTTTCTAAAACAGCTTGTCCCAAATCCTGCAAAATCAAGAAAAAATTTCTGTTATTTATGTAGAAGTCCAAGAACTAGTTCCTCTATAATATTGAAGTTTTTTGTTTAGCCAAGTGTAGCCAAAGTAGAAACTATGAAACAAGTCGAGGAACAACGAATAGAATATGGATAATCTCAAAAAATCTAGATTCTCTAGAATATGAAATTTTGAAAGTAAATGTTGCAACATGCAGCTTCGTACTCTGTTGTATTGGATTTTACTAATGTCTAGTGTTGACTGAGGAATTCCAGGGAAGCGCTGCTTAAGAATCAGCAAGACAAGCTCAGCTCTTTCTTCAAAGATTTCTCTCTTCTCAAAGCTAACAGCTGAACCCCAGGTTGATTTCCCATCTTTAGCGTTCATCTTTCTTCTCCAAATAACTACAGAAGCCTCAATCCTGTTCTTTAGGTCTACAATTTTATGTTCCGAAGAAAAGTCCATAGTTGTGAAGAAGTAATCCGGATCAAAGTACTCGTCAGTGATGCTTTTGTAGATCGAATCTCCTAGGCTTGCTCTCCCTTTCTAAACACAGTAAAAGGAAAATGTTAACTCAAGATCACAAGCTTGAAGTAACGGGAAAAAAAGGATAACTACATTTTTGGGCAGCCCAAAAAGATAATAGCCGGCAAATGTACATGTTTTGTATATTAAGTATAAATATACATATAATACACATAGTATATACATAATCAATGTATATGTTCAATATTTGGGCTACCGCCTGTAATTATTTTCAGGCGCGGGGATAAAAATGAAAAAAATCCTTAAAAAGGTGAGATTCATGATCTATTTCCTTTTTTTGTACCTTAGGTAGGGATTCTATATAACTTTCTGGGATCTCCATTTCTGACAGGACTTGAGCATTTATAGCCATGGCTGCTTTATGAACTTGGTTTACTGAATCCTTCTGAAATTGCAGCCATTTCCTCATGGGATCAGATAAGCCATTAGGAGGAACCTTAGGAGTAGGTATCCACCATTTTTCATCATTCCTGCTGTTTTTTCCATCCTCTGATTGATCATCTTTTGATACATAGGAGAACTCACTTTGATCCTTAAAGCTATCTAAGCAATCCTGTTGATTATTAAACAAGACATAAGCATCAATGAGGAAACAATTCTACAATGACATTAGGAAAATGAAAACAAAAGAACTTCATATTTCTTACAATAAGCATTGCATCTAGCTTGCGTAGTGCTGGAATGTTCATTTGAAGATCGGATCGCTGCTTTGTTACCATAACCTGATAAATAAATGAATGTATGACTCTTGTTGTTGTTAGGTAGATATATGGAATATACAACAAAGAGCTCGAGCGAGAGAGGTATACCTCCATGTTTGTTCCATCTTTTGATTTTTGATTACAAGGAACAAATTCAACAATGTGATCTGTGACTGATAAAAGCCAACCAATTTCTTTTCTCCATTTGGCTTTTGTCTCGGCTGGCATTGGCTCTAATCTCTTCAGTTCTCCAAAAACGGAAGCTGCATTTTGTAAAAAAGAAAGAAAAATATAGAAAAAAAGAATACTTATATACAAGAAATCTTCATGTAATCTATCTAAAAAATTAGCATACCATACATTGATAAGAAAAGTTGAGTTCTTTTCTCTGATCGATCTTGTGAAATTCACAAGCAGTTGAATTAAGACTTTGTAATTATAATCATTAATATTTTTGGGTGATTTGCACAAATAGGATCATTCCATGCTGCCGTTAAAGTTTTGACCCCGTTAAGAAAAGTCTTGAGAAAATAGCCTCCGGTCATATGGTGATCGCCAACATTTGTCACAAAACCTGACGGATCACCAGGATTTTCCTAACGATCACCATAATTAAGGGAAATTTATGAGCGCTTCCCAAAATTCTGGCCCGAGGCTATTTTCCCAAAACTTGTTTTTAACGAAGTCAAAATTTAAACGGTGGTCCTAAAATGGTCCATCCAGCGTAATTTCTTGAATATTTTTTGCTAATGAGGCCATTGAGTCAGATTACCTGCTAGGTTTGTGATTGAATTTGACAAAGCCAGCGCAGAAGAGACACCCTTTCCTCCACCAGACATATCCTCACCAAGGAGCAACTTTGCAAACTTTTCCTTCATTAGCTCCATATCTAAATAGAAGCCAAAGATTTACGTGTGTCAACAATGTGGTAAAAGCATATAGTAACATGGAATTGAATCTGTTGACTATATCAATTCCTGGACATGTTACAGACATGTTAAAATGTTGAGGCTCTCAAACATTTCACCAGAGACGTAGAGGAAGGAGTGGTTAGAAATACAAATTCCTTTGAAAATTAGCCACAATCAATGACCTAAGGAGCTATAACAATTATCCAAGTTTTTTCATATTTGTGTTTCATAGGGAATGAACAAAATCAAGAATAAAAAATAATTAAAAAGAAAAAGAAAAAAGAGAGGAAAATGATTTACCTGAAGGCTGGTTCTGTTGGGCACGAGGGCTAGACGCGACACCTGAATCATAGGCCAAACGTGACTTGAAAGTCTCATTACGTTTAAGCGCCCTGCCCCCAGCCATGGAATTGTTTTTCGTCTCAAGAATCATGCTTCACGTTTGTCTGTCTTTCAATCTCACACATTCCATTAAAAACATGACAGGCCAACAATTGTAGATCTCATTATCTACGTCGAGTGCTCGAACCAATATTTTTCTTGATTCAAGAATGTATAATCTTAATTAAGAAATGAAACTTGTGACCATTAAACAAGAAAATAATATGGGATGTTAGAGGTGAGGTGACAATGAAGGAAAAGTTGGAAAGTTGTGGAGTGAGAGAAGAAAAGGGTTGTGTTTCTGCAGGTGGAGAGAAAGGTAGAAGAGGTGGAGGCAAAGTGTTTTTGCTTAATGAAGGAAACTTTTGGTGTTAATTCATAGTTTTAGTGAGTGGTTGGAACAACGTGGAGTGCATGTTTTTGAGAACGTTTGAGAATGATGGAGATAAGATGTCACCTCTGGTTTGACTAATTATGGAATTGCATTATATTCTTGCTTCCTATTGGCTTCCATCGGACAATGAATGGCTCAATTTTTCTTTAAAAAGTCAGACCACACAACTTAGTTAAAAGGTAAAAAAGATAAGTTCAAACGTGTGCAAAGTATCTACAATGATGTACTTCTTTTAGTTGCTAGGAATTAACTTATTACTCCAGTAACAATTTGAATGAACCACAACGATGTTGTACATTTTCCCTATTTCTCTATATCAGGTTTATTATGAACAGTTAATTTATTAGTATTATAGATCTAAAATTTTGATGGTATGAAAAATTTGTACTTTATCCGTGTATAGAAATTAACTCTTGTGATAATGCGATCTAAACACACTGTTTAATCATAATTTCCTTTTGTTTTTCTTTACTGTGTTAATAAATTAACTTTGCGAAGATCCTTTATTAGTTGAGATTGGTTATGGGGATAATCTATTTTCATTAAGAGGATTCGTACTCATATAAACAGTATTTTTTGTTAACTATATAAGGAGTAAAATTCTTCCCTTTTTCTATTTTTTCTTTTAAAGAATAAAATTACAAAGAAAAGAAAGAAAAAAAAATAGGAAAAAAAAATAGGTTTTTTTATCCTCAAATTCGTTGGTCGGTTCAGTTGGTAAGCTCTATTTCTCAAAGCTGGCCTAAGGAATATTTGCATTTTAATTAGGTAGAGCTAAATTGCCGTGGCCCGGCTATTACTTCCTTTTCTACTGAAACAATTTTATAAGATGATTGCGTAAGACTTCTCTTTATTTTTTATATGGAAAAGGGCCAAAATTACCTCTAACCTATTGTATATAGAGCAATAAATATTAAACTAGAACACACTAGATTGTCTCATATTTATCGTCAAGAGAAAATAATATACGAATTGACCTAAACTTGAGATCTGATACTAAAAATACCGAAAGTGCAAAGAAGAACATGAATGCTTTGCTCAAGAATTGTATGCACAGATGTCATCAAACCCTATATGCTGCCCTTTCTCGACTTTTTTTATCGTGTCTAATATGCCAACACCACCTGCACAAATAACTAAACTTAGTAACAGAAACTGTTGGCAAAAAAATACAATGTGAACCATATTAACAGAGTGAAGATACTTGACTAATGAGAGGGCGCTCACAAAGATTGTGAAAGCCAATACAAAGATAATGACAGATGCTCTGCCCACAATGCTAATAATTTTCCTTACAACATTCTGTCCTACAAAGGCCGCGATAGTGGTTACAGTAACAAAATACAGGGCTGCAAAAGAGAAACCAAAAATCAATAAACAGTTTCATAAGGAGCTTTGAATGACGGACATGGAGGAGGAAAATGTCATAACAAGAGGGGGTTGCTTAGAAGGTCAGCATCCCCCACCTACAATCCCAGGGTCGTGGGTTTGAGTCATCAAAGGAGCAACAACTCTAACAAAGGGGGATCAAAGAGGAATCAAAGGGGACGGGAATTAAAAAAAAGGAACTTTGAATATAATCAACTACACAACTAGGAACGTCCAACTAAAACATTCAAGTTTCTTCACTACCATATGGTATTGGAAAGCGTCTGAGTAGGTAATATTGTATGACGGACATAGAGGAGGAAAATGTCATAACAAAGGTTGTAGTGGCACTTGATACCTGCATTTACCAATATCATGTAATAAGCTTTATATCATTGGCAACAGAAAACCAAATTACCACAATGGGAAATGAGATGGTTATGAAACCTGGGGAGGAATGCCTAGCTCTAGAAGCAAAGGTCCCAAAATGAATCCTCCACCAAGACCAAGCAGTCCACCAACTATACCAGCCAAAATGCCACAGCAACAGCAAAGAATCAACTGATGTACTTTCCAGATTATTACGGCATCTCTGCTTGACATGATCACCCTTGATCCCTTGTACAAGCAAACTGCTTGATATACAGAAGCTCCTACAGCAACAGGAACCTGAAAAATTCGGGTTTATCTAAATCACAGTTCTCAATTCATCTGAGAAGAGAAGGTCATAGGTCGTTCAAAATAGCCACAACACAGGAGCGTGCTACAAATATCAATACCAATATAAGCTTTAACGCATGGAAGTACAATCTATATTAGTATTTTTAGAAAAAAATTATTCATGAAATTAAAATAAGCCTTGCTAATAAATAATGTATAAAAGGAATTATATGTCATTGAGAAGCAGTAATACGCACACCAGTTAGCATTGCAATAACAACACATACCTGTAAGAGGTTTAAACTCCAATATGCCACTGAACAAGTTGATGAATAATTCTGTACAAAAAATGACAGCTTTCGATCAATTCGCTAATAATGCAGGACAACATAGAAGGCAATCCTGAATGTGTAAAGCCTCAGGCAAAGAGATAAATGTAAGAACCTTGGATATATGCAGAACAAGGATAACGACCCAGACAGAAACAAGTGCGGTGATATCCTTCCAGTATACATTGTCGTCAATTGGCACCTGGAAAAGCTCAAGAAATCAGCACACGAGGACATTTTTTCAAAAGAATTACTCTGCGCTCCCTTGTGCCAGTTTAACAGAACCCAATTGACTACTAAAAAGATTAAAAACTGAAGTTCCATTTAGTTTTTTCCATTGGAGAATAATGAAGTTGGCAGCTTGGGACAACGGAGATAGGATTAGATCTTAAAATCTCTGGGTTTACGCCATATATCATTGAACAAAACCTTTCAAACTAAAGTTTTATTATGCAGATGATATTGTATAAATGGCGTGGAATGTAGGACTTCATTTCAAAGTATAATACAAAGCTGAAAATTATTTTTATTGCAGGATTTTTTATGTAGGTGGAGAAGTAAATTGGAACAGACAGAAAAGGGAAGTAAAGTAAATTGGTAATCACCTCTGGTGCCTTATAAACTTCTTTTTCAACTCTAGAACCATCATTTGCACCCTCAGGTAGAAGTTTGTATGCTACTTCTTCACCACCAGCACCTGATTCCAGTTCATAATATCACAGAAAACTAACTGGTCAAATAACGCTGCTGATATTCTAGAAGATAGAGCAGATAATGAAGCAAGTGACCACCAGATGTCAAGCGTCCAGCAACTTCCTGGATGTCAAAATAGATATGTGAACAATGTATTAGAGAGACTCAATCTTCTATTATACTCTACAAATCACAGGATAGAATAAGAGATAACCTTCTTTATTATGGTTTCTCTTTTCCACGTCTCAACACCCTTGGAAAATGCCTTAGTTGATGCCGCTGCAAGTACCATAACCAATCAGAATAATTCTCTTAATAACATGGGTAAGAATGTAAACCTTGTGTTACCTATGAAAAGAATGATCAATAAGACTGTAACCATCCACTCTGCGAAAAGGACGTTGAGAACAACTCCGATACTTATACCCAACAGCAACATTGGTTGGAAAAGAAGAGCTAGATTGTAATCAATAATGGGCATGTCCATTGTTGGATGTCGCAGCTTTAGGTTGTAGTAGACAGTTGCACCCGCTGCACCAGTGATCATACCTTACAAGAAAACAAAATGCTCAAAGAATCAGCAGCATTGATTCACAAGTAGCTCGTGGCTCTAGTAAAACTTGAATAACACACAAACGAATCAGCACTATATTGATTCTAAAACCATCTAACATTTAGTGGTATCTTCAAGAAGCTTCTCACCTTAAATTAAGTTTAGTAACAGATCTCCTTAAATACAATAGCAGCATGGTAATTATGAACATTGGAGATCATAAACTGATTCTTACATTTCGATATTGCAGTTGATGTCTTTGGATCAAATCCGATGATTAAAGTAAGCATGGGAACAACGATACCACCTCCCCCTACTCCTCCTACACTCCCTAAAGCAGCAGCGAAGAATCCAATTATTGAACCAACAATTACTCTCCACCCAACTTGCAGTTCCTGGAATGCATACCAAACTTCAGTAGTAACATCTACTTTATGTTAATTTCTCGTATGGGCACAGAATTTTATCACTATAACAGTAAAGTTAATCTTTGTCAAATTAAATAACTGAACTTTATCCACTAAAACAGTAAAATCACATAACTGAACTATGTGCGAATTGCTTAGAAAACACAAAGAGCCGGAAGGTCAAAAACTCGTACAATAAAGAATGACACTTTCAGCAAGTTAACCTCAATTTTGTTACTTTCTTGTAATTGCATTAATATGCATTGTTTCTAAAATTCAAAATCGTCAATGGACAAAGACTTTGTTGAGTCCCACATCGGCTCAAGATGGGTAACTTGGACTCCTTATATGGTCTTGGGCAATCCTCACCTCATGGGCTAGCTTTTGGGTTGAGATCCATCTATCATGGTATTAGAGTCTCATTATTTACCCGATGTTGGGCCCCCCATCTTACATTATCCACGCTCCAGTTGCCCAGTCCTGGGCGTGCGGGGGTGTTGAGTCCCACATCGGCTTAGGATGGGTAACTTGGACTCCTTATATGGTCTTGGGCAATCCTTACCTCATCATCTAGCTTTGGGGGTTATGTATTTATCAGACTAGCTGAAGCAAGGGAGAATGGTGTTGAGGGAAAAAAAGGAAAGTGAACTTACCGGCCAAACATGGTGGTAATGCATTTCAGCCTTTTGCCTCAGAATATTGAATAGATTGAATACATAACCTGATTCAAAATCATGAGTTGTTCCATTGTTACTCAGAGTGATTCTATCTGAAATCTGCTCTGCAGACGCGAAGACATTGGAAGATAGGATGAGAAAACCAATCACAGCAACTGCATATGTTGTTAAAGCCTTCAACTTTGCTCCAGTTTCTGCCATCAAGTAGTAAGTTCCCAACTTTGGTTTTCCTTCTAATAAGTGACTCCCACACTTCTCAGATAACCAAGATTAGAACATTGACTCAGTTAAACTGCAAGCAAGAAATCAAGATTATTTGCACTTAACCAACTTTAAATACGCAAAGAAAGCAACTTTCTGGAAAAGAAAAATATCAAGATTCTTTACACTTGCCAGCTTATATATGAAAAGGAAACAAGAAAGAAACAATCAAAAAAGCAACTTTATTTGTCAACTTCAGAGTCCAATTTATCTCTCAATTTTGGCTACTTTAATGGCTCCCTTGTTTAGCTCTTTAATGGTTATTTTGTCTGAACTATCTTCTGTGTCTTACAGGTCCGTTAATCATTGTGAAGAGCTGTTGGTACAAATCAATTAATACCAATAATTGCTGAGAGAATGAGATGTTGTGTTTTTCTGCCAACGCCCACCTCCCTACAGCCTAACATAGTAAACATTGTCTTGTGGAAATGAGTGGCACTGAGATTATTGGGTTTTATTTGGAACATAGAATTTCAAAACAAAAGTTAAGCACTTTTCCAATGTCACTATCGAATTAGATGCATGGTCACTTAAGTTGCTAAAATAACACTAATGGTGGTCCTCTTTTGCTTCTATTTTCAAAGGCTTAATTTGTCATGATAGAAACTAAAGGGTCCATCAAACTTTATAGAGAATCTGGTTCTTTATCGGTTCCCACAGTAACAACAACAACAATAATAACGACGACCCAGTAAGATCTCACATGTGAGGTCTGGGGAGGATAGCATGTACGCAGACCTTACCCCTACCCCGAGGGAGTAGATATGTTGTT